GTCTTGGTACATCGCAGTATATTTCACTACATTTGATTTTTGAATTTACAAAACTAAATTTCAAATTTTCATTATCTAAAAATTACACCTTACAATATTAGTATTAAAATTTACAAATTCCCGGATAATTTTGATCCCGAAAATACCCAATTTTGTAAATAAAATAAATAAATAACACAAAATTCATTCCAACTTTAGCAATTTTGAGTTTTTAGAACAAAATGAGAGCTAATTTTTTGTTTTATTTAAAGAATCCGTTCAATTTCACCCCTAGTTAAAAATACATAACTGCGATGGAAAGCAAAACAAAATGAAGGATTAATCAAAACATAAGACTTATATAAGAGCAAGCCATGTCATAATCACTTGAATATTCATCACATAAACATAATCACTAAAGCAGTCACCATATGTACTATTCATGTCATAATCACTTGAACATTCATCACATGACCATGAAAAAAATAAAAAAATCGACCCAAAAATACTATATGTCAATTCCTATAGAATTTTGTTTCTCGTCTCTCCTTTTACCAACTTCGTTCTCTTCAAGTGTTATATACAATATTCCAATTTCTAGAATTTCTAGAAATTACTATATTTAAACCTTTATTTTATTGACAACTTAGTCACTAGTGCTTGATATTGTAAAAGAATAAATATAGGACATAATTATATGGTAAAATTACCGGTGCTTGATATTGTAAAAGAATAAATATAGGATATAATTATATGGTAAAATTGCGCTTTTCAAGATTTTGTTCTACTTAATTATTAGAGCACATGCTTTTATTATGTAATTTTTTTATAAGCTTGTTGATTGACCATAAATAAAATCATACATGTAATTATACCACTCCACTTCCTACTAGATGGTGGTGATTGATTCAACGATGGCTCTTAAAATGTTCTTGGAACATTCTATAACCTATTGAAAACTTCCTACATAGTTCTACAAAATTCCTATCTTAAAATAGTCTACTTTGGGCTTCGTTTTTGCTAGTTATCTAGGTCAATTGAAACCGCTTTTGCCTAAATACCGTAAAACTTCAAATGGTACCACACCTTTCTTTATATTTAAAATTATTCATTACTATATATTCTTTTTACAACCAATTGATTCAATTAAAATAACAATGTTTTAAAACTCGTTAAGAATTGATGCCAATTTTGGGCTTTCTGAAAAATTCAGATGATAGAAGAGATTTGTATTATATTAAAATATATTTATTTAGTTTTCAGTATTTTCTAAAAAAATGTTCATTACATGGCTATAATCAATTTAAATTTACATCGAAAGACTATCATATTCTATGTGTATATTAAGAGATCACAAATATGTAACATCAATTTTTGTAAAGAGAAAATTTAAATTTAAATTAGATCTTGGGGGTCTACTATTAGATTGGAGCCTTAATGGTCGGATATGTGGGACTTACCCTCAAGGCCAACCATGTCAAGAGAAACAAGTTTGAGGAAGAGAAGGGGGAAAAAAAAAAGTTAAAAGTTATTGCCACAGAATTGGTTGTCCAACCACTATCGTAATTGTGGGCGAATGGGTAATCAAAATAAAAATTAATTTGATGATAATGAAAATTGAAAACATACCCCAATCAGCAAAAGAAAGAGTTACATTTTTCATGCGTTTGTGGTTTATCATGCTTTTACTTCTCCGAGAGGTCGATTTGAAGATTTTCCAAAGGTTTAATACACAATTTGAGTTATTGGTAGATAAAGAAATGAAATTGGTAGACAACGAAGATTTCGCTAGTGTTATTAGTATTCTTCGAGTGCATAAAGCAAGATGAGTAATTTTCATGAAAAAATGTATTGTATATTTCAATAGGCCAAGTAGTCATAACTAAGTACATGTCAAATTCCTACGACCACGCGGTTATGCATTGCATTGTATAAAAGTTCTCCAGAGGAACCACTCTAGACCTCAATGCCAAAATAAAACTAAATAATTAAATAAATAAATGAAAATTCTTAATAAATAATTAATTAATTAAATAAATGAAAGTTATAACTATTAAATGAACGGAAAAAAATTCATAGTATTTAGCAGGAGCAGCCTTAATTTTATTAATAAGATATTAAATGAAAATAAATAATTAAATAAATAAATGAAAATTATAACTATCAAATGAGTGGGAAAAGATTTAGGAGGAGCAACCTTACTTTTATTAATAAGATTAACAGAAGATAGATTATTTCGATTATTTGAAAGAAATATATACTTATTTTCGAATGCCGCAATTGGTCGGAAAATACTAAATTTACCAATTGATCAAACATGCCACAAGAAAGACTTACAAGAAACATATATGTTTCCCTAGATCCGATTTGATTTTGAATTTTCAAAACTAAATTTCAAAATTTCATTATCTAAAATTTACACCCTACAATATTAGTATTAAAATTTACAAATTCTCAATAATTTTGATCCGAAATATCCGATTTTTTAAATAAAATAAAAGGTTAAATACACTTTGCACCCCTAAAGTATGGCCTACGTAATACTTACCCCTCAACATCAATTATTTTATATTTTAAAATATAAAAACTAATAAACATAACAATCTAATAATTATTGGATCATAAAAAAATGAGAAGTAATTAAAAAATTAAATTATTGAAAAAAATAAAAAGTAATATATGTTGTATACTAATGAATGAAAATATAATTTATGAAATTAATGAACTAAAATATATTTGAATACTTAAGATTACTATTAGTTATGTATTGATTTTTTAAAATTTATCGATATGAATATATTTAATTACTTGTTCCAATAACAATTAGATGTTACTTATTAAATATGTACCCGACACATAATATTTTTAAATTTTTAATTATTGCATTTTTCAATAGATATTTTTATTTGTATAATTTAATTATTCTTTTAGTTATTTCTTTAAATAAAAAAGGAAACTTTAATGTATACTATTAATATTTCAAATACAAATTAAATTGAGCTTGAGGGGGAAAATGTTACAAATGATACTTTAGGAGGTAAGTGTTAAAAAAAGTATACTTTAGAGGTGTAAATTGTATTTAACACTACAATAAAAAAAATAAAAAAAATAAAAACTAAAAAAAACACAAAAAAATCATTCGAACTTCAGCAATCCCGACTCCTGAGTTTTTAGAACAAAATTAGTACTAATTTTTCATTAAATTTATTATTTAAAAAATCCATTCAATTTTCACCACCACTAGTTAAAAATACATAACCGCGCGACGGAAAGCAAAACAACAAAATGAAGGATTAATCAAAACGTAAAACGTACAACAAAATGAAGGATTAATCAAAACGTAAAACGTAAGCACAAAATGAAGGATTAATCAAAACATCACTTAAGTAACATATGTACTATTCATGTCATAATCATTTGAATAGTACTATTCATGTCATAATCATTTGAATATTTGAATATTCATCACATGACCATGAAAAATAAATAAAAATCGACCCAAAACAAAAAGACGACCCAAAAATTTCCTATATCGCATAAAATAGACCGCATAACGACTTTCCACCTTACTTTCCACCTTACTTTCCACCTTTTGGCAGAACCAAATCCACTTTCCACCTTTTGGCAGAACCAAATCCAACATTTCCTAGCGCATACCAAAATGGGCAGCAACCCAAAAGTGGACCCCCACTTTTTTCATTTATCAATTCTTTCACTTTTTTTCACCTCTATCAATTCTTTCACCTCTATCAATTCTTCTTATCCATCGCACATTAGTAAGACTTAGTAAGACCAAAATGCACCAGAAGTTGACATCTTTGATCTTAAAAAAAAAAAAAAAAAAAAAAAAAACTGTGCATGCGAGTATTGGGGAGTGCGAGTATTGTCATGTCGAAGCAGCAGGCAGCGATATTATCCATCGGCTCCAATCGTTTTTTCGCCTTAATTTATCAGCCTACAAACAAAGGATAGAAAATTATAACTACCTACAAAACACTAACCATAAATAAGATTGCAACGAGACCACCAATAGTCGACTAAGAATTATCTGTACTGAGACATATTTAGAATCTAAAGAACATATATTTTTCAAATACCTGCACTTCCACAATATTCGATGATTGCATGGAATCCTTTATAAGCTGAACACTGTCTGTCAACTGCATCATCTGTAAAAAAAAAAATGGCAAGAAAAATTATTCTTTGTAGCTATCAAACAAGAATATTAGATATAGAGGAGCATAAAGATAAAAAAAAGTCAGATCATTTAGTGATTTTACTTATTGACAGCAAATATAACAGAATCGGATGTTGTAATAAAGGAGTTGTATAAAAACACTAAGGAAGATTAACGAAAACCCTACTGAAAAACTTCCGGCGTTACAGTTAAGTAATTAACCTTGGATTCAAACTTGATCTATCAATAGTGTTGCATTGGTCCTATAAGTTATCTATGAAAAAAAAGTAGGCTCTCTTTTTTCTTACAGAATTGGTTCTATCAAAAACCTATGCCAATAAATTGGTAAAATAGATTTGAAAATGAGTTTCATTTTCAGAGTTCAGGTAACAAACACGCAAACTTTCTATATTCCTTTCAAATGGAAATTACTAGGCCAACTATCCAGGTATAAGTAGCATAATTCATAACGAAAGAAATGCATTGATCTTTTGGGCATAGGAAAATCATTCAAATTCAAACAACTCAAAACAATCAAAATCATTCAAATTCAAACAACTCAAAACAATCAAAACATGCATTTTGAATTCATTACAGATTACATCTATGACAGTATAAATCAAAGACATTAAATCGTAACACCGTAGACTTACTTTTCTGAATCCTGCAATTAGCTTGATAGAAACCCATCCTTCGGCATCCATATTCTGCCGCAAGAAAATGTCCTTCACCAAATTGTCATTACTGCAACAAGCAAACAAACAAATAAACACGAAATAACAAAAATTGCAGTAGAAAAACACATAATGAAAGGCTAGGACCAGGTCATTCCAATACCTAAAATAATACTCTATCTGCTTCAAGATCTGGGACGATACGCCAGGTTTTTGCACCGGGAAAAACATCGGTGGAATCGGAAGCATAGGCATACGCATGGGCATGGGCCTGAAGAAATTTTGACGAGGAGGAGGTCCACCAGGTACATAGTAAAAATGCGGCGGCGGTGGCGGTGGCGGTGGCGGCACATCTGCAAGATGCATCAAAACATCAGCAACGAGAAAACATCAATGAATTCAAATTTTCCAAAAAAAAAAAAAAGCAAGTCACCTGGGTAAACCATGGGGTTAACAATGGGTCGGGGACCAAAAGGAGGAGGAGGCGGCGGAGGTGGAACGAAAGGCGCAATTGGAAGCGGTGGTCCACGGATAAAGGGCGGCCTAACTCCTCTGTGTTGGATTCCACCATAGCTTCGTTGAGGAAGAGGAAGAGGAGGAGGAGGACGGGGCCCACCGATATTCCTATAAGACGTAAATCCAACTCCACCGTCTCTATACGTGTTCTCCCTATTAGATTCCATAGGACGATAACCACCGACGCCGGAATTTGTAAGAGGGGCACCCCCAATAATAGCACCTTGTGCTGGCGGCGGCAGCGGTTGGTATAATCTACCATTATTATCCTGCTTACTACTGCTCTGATTCGAACCACCGCTACACTGCTTCACCGACTCGTGTCGTAAATTCGGGGTCGATGCACTAGTAGTAGCATCTTCTTCTTTCTTCGAAGACAGAGATCCTGCTGCATCCATTCCCTATTGATTAACAATGCAGAAAATTTAATTTATAGGTAAATGATCACAAACATGCAATTAAAATTTAAAAAAAAAACAATTAATTTAATGAGAAGATGAGTGAGAAATAAACCTCTGGTTTAGTGAGAGATTTGAGGGATTCGGAGAGATCAGGCCAGAATGCATCCCCCATAACAGGAGCAGCAACTTCGGGGGCGGCCACCCCCACCACATCTGAAGGCTTGTTCCAAGCTGGCGCCTCCTTTGCGCCACAACCACTCTTAATTTCTTCAATTTGAGCACTCGTCAGAGAACCAAAACAAGGGATAGACGAAGAAGGTTTCACAACAATATTCACCGTGGCGGTAGTAGCCATTGGCATTCAATTCAATTAAATTAGGGTTAGAAAACAGCTCCGATTTGGGAATTGGGACAAACAATAAAAAAAATAAAAAAATTAAACACAATGAATAATGAATTGAATTAATGAAAACTTAATGAAACGGAGGAGGATGTATATATAGTTTTTTTTTTTTTTTTCTCTCCTCTTCGTTCTCTTATTTCAAGTAGGTTTTTTTCTTTCGGAATCAAACAATAAACAATGAATTGAATTAATGAAAACGGAGGAGGGTGTATATATAGTGTTTTTCTTTCTTCTCTTCGTTCTCTGATTTCTAGAGAGAGAATTCTTGTCTCTCTCTACTACTAGGTTTTTTGCTATTAGGATTCTCTTATAAATTACCTGTCGACTAAGTTTTTATATAGAAAAGATTAGCTAGAGATACGAGATTCCAATTTAAATCACACTGGTTAAAAATATCTATAAACTAATTCATTCTCCACTAGGAAAATTTTTATTAATTTAGGAAATTATTAAAATTATTGAGTTGATAATTTAACTCGTTCTTAGTGAGTCCGAACCGGTAGAAACTATTATTTAAGCGAAGTTCTACTGTAATTAGAACGAAATTTTCAATTTCTATTTTTTGTCGATTTTGACATTAAGTATTTGATTTTGAAATAATGTATTTTTTGTTTTGAATTCCGAAAAATTCGACTATGATTTTTCCGATTTTTTTTTTAATCAATTGGAATATATATGAGATTCCAATTTCCGGTCTGGTTTTAATGTTTAAAAATAATTCCATTTTTTTCCGAAATTACACTTATAGTATCAATACTATAGCCCGATTTTTTTTTCTTTTTTTTTTCTGAAAGTGCTAATTTTAATCAATTCCGTCCAATTTTTACCTAGTTCTCTACTAATATAGGTTATCTACTAATACTATTTTTCTAACTCGTTCCACCAAATTGCGTTCCGAATATACCCCTAAACTACATATATAAGAGAATTATAATTATGTTTTACGTATTAATGTTGTCTTATGTTCGAATTTTAGAGAAATCATCCACTGTTTTCGTAAATTAGTTGTCAACACATAAAGACCGAAAACATACAATTTCGCGGTACCAATTTTCTTTTTATATACAATATTTCAAGTTCAAATATCTGGTACTAATTTTATGTCAAAAAATTATGTATTGAGTTGTGTTATATTTTATGCATGTGTTTGTTGAATCAACTATTTTTCTTGTCTATGCAAGTTCCAAGCTCGTATGACAACTAATACGGATATTATAAAACTTTTGCTGCCGAAAATTCTCCTCTGAGAGGATTTGTCGAGGCGACGGGCGCTCGCGCGTGTGGACATGAGTTGAAACTCACAAGTCCCAACATCTTTAATTTCAAATAAAGTAATTAGAAATTTAAATTATGCTACAACAATAATAAAAAATGGTCAGTCAACAGCCAACAGTAAAGGGATGAAATTGAAGATAAAATAAGGATTTCAAATTTTTAAATTGTGTTTGTTAAAAAAGATTATAGGTAATTGATGTGAGAGGTCAAATTGGTTTAGGATAAGGAAAATGGAATAAGGATTTTTCAAATATTGGTTATATTTGATTATGAAAAGAACTCTACCTTTTTTCTCTCTCTCTAGTTTTCTTTTCAATCACAAACAAATATATTTTTCAATGATCCGAAAGTTTAGGCCTATTTTCACTATTATAAAAGCGTTTGAATCTTTGAGGGAACTTTTCAATTGATTTAAACGTGACAATTGGTTTAAGAATCCAGACTCCCAATTGGTTTAAGTAAAGTTATAAGTAACTACTTGGTAATCTTTTGCAAATATCATTAAAAGATCATCTAAATTGCAGTTTTTTCCAGCCAAAAAAAAAACTGTTGTAATTTACAACCTTTTTTTTAGCTTTAAAGTTGGATTAAACATTTGTGCCTTTATTATTATTATTATTTTTATTTAAATCTAATTAAAACATGCATTTTTGAGATTTGCTGGAAAAAACTGCAATTTACAACAGTTTATTTTAAGAAAAATAAAGGCAAAAGATACATTTGCAAACACTCCAAAATAAATTATGAGCCCAAAATAACTTATAATCTCTCTTCATTAACTTTTGCAAACACCACCTTAATTCTCTTTTAAATTTAAATTTCTACATAAAATAATTTTTTAAACTTTTTTTTTTTTTTGAGAATATAAAAATAATTTTATAAACTTGAAAAAGTAATAAAAGAAACGAAGTTCTGAACTTATATATTAAAAGATTCTTTCCAGATATAACATTTATACACTATAACGGCCACATATAGATTTTAAAAGGTAAATAATTAGTAATTTTGTAATGTGGCATATTATATTTAATATATATTTATCAGAATATTATATTTGACGAAATTAAATCTTGAATGATTCTCCGAATATATAAACCAATAACAAATCCTTAAACCATGTTTTGTTCAACTATGAGTGGATCCCCAATAACTAAGGCATCTATATATATATATATATATATATATATATATATATATATATATATATATATATATATATATATATATATATATATATATATATATATATATATATATATACATATATATATATATATATATATATATATATGTATCTATATATGTATATATATATGTTACCATCCACACTATTTGAGATGCATTTTATTAAAAATTACATGTCCTGAAAAACGATTCTATTTACATCAAATGCAGAGAGGACACACAATGACTATGCTCATGAACAGATTAAAACATATATATACATATCTAGATCTATATATCTCGTCGTTTCGAGGAAGCGCACGCAATATCTCCACCTCTCTCTAGATCCAACTCTGTCACATAATTCCTCTC